TATATATATATATATATAAGCTGGCCTATCAATTGGATAGAAGGGGTGCCTTCTAGCAAACAAGATTATGTTCTAAATGAAAAAGAAAATAAAAATACAATCAAACACCATTTCGTGTCAACAACCTTTAAAGCAATGCCTTCAAAATTCATCCATAAGAAAAATAAAAAAGATAAAGATGAAGAAAATATACAAGTATGCATTCATAGCTTTTATGGAAAGCAATAAATCTTAATCTTGTATGTTAGGAAGCTTATATATTAGGAAACTTGCGATTAGGCAACCTAATCAGAGGATCTTTTCTATATTAGAGTTATTCCTAATATAGATTGTTGGGACTGTGTAAAAATATGAATGTGTGCTTTCGATTGGGAATAGAGAAAAAAATAAAGCTTTCCTGTCACATGGTATCAGTCATCCCTAATATAGAGAGTTGGGAGATAAATATGTAATATATTTTTTTCAATTAGGAATAGGAAAAATGGAAGCTTTTCTGTCACATGGTATTAGAGCATCGTCAGATAGTTTCGTCTGCAGCTGCTTTGTTTGATCAACACAGATGACTTTTTCTGCTCCGAAATAGAAGACACCCTCAACTTCAAAATAGACGACACCCTCAGCTTTGTCGTCGGCATCTCTAGGCATCTTGAGTTTTGTCATCTACATTGCTTGGTGTCATCATTCGATTCATGGGTTTCATTTGAAGGCTTCGTCTACTTAGAATGACATCTGAAAGGCTTTCAACGACATCATAAGTTTCTTCCCCTGGCATCTACATTACTCCGTCCGCACTATAGTCAGTGTTCGATTCCTCAATTCCATTTGAAGTCTTCTTTTGCTATCTCCGATCACTTTGTCTGCATCTTCTTCATCTGCCTCTCTGCATAGATGAGATGAGGGCATCGACGAAGCCGACTTCTATTTTGGCCGCTATCTATTTCACTCGGCTTTGCATGCTTAGATTAGTTGCTGCATTCGGCCTCTTCAGCTTTTTCGATCCAATTTTTTTCTTCTTCATTTGTCGATCGGTGAATTGTTGGTCATCATGTTATTTGTCTTCTAGTGCTTTGGTTATTCGTTCGACTCATCCTACAAAACTGAATGGGAACAATTATGGCAGCTGAACACAAGCAACTTGTGACACGTTTGGTTTCATCAGTGGCGTTTGGCAAAAATTATGGATGAAAACTTAAATGACATCAATTATTTTTACTAGAATAGAACCGAGACAATATTTAAGAAATATTTCTCAAGAGAGTCGCCTCATTGATAATCCACTAGCTAGATCAAGTGGAATTATTCTGAGTGGATGAGAATGGATGCCCAGTTGTTCATACAAATATGAAACTCTATCAAACCTGATTAATCTAATCATATTATTCATTATGACTTTGTTAAACATGCAATGGAGAAATTGACATTTGTTTTTTCTAGGAGAAAAATTATTTCTCGGATCTTTGAAATATGAAAGGAGTTGTATCGAGATGAACAACAGAATTAGTCATTTAACACAGATCACATGCACTAATATGTGTATGAAAAATTGAACTCACTATTGTCCTTCAGTACCGCTACCCAGAATCAACGGACTCAGAGAACAAATAGCTATTATAAGTTTTCTACCTGACCAGGACTCTCAGTAAGAAGGTGTCAAATCACAGAAACTATCTAACGCTGGATGTATTACTCTGAGAGAATCCTATACTAGAGTATCATGTATAATTATGAGTTCTCAGGCCTTATTTAGGCAACAACCTAATGCTCTTGCAAGTTAGAATGCATAAATCAGTAAACACCGATCCCATGACAATCACATAAGTGGAACTCTAAATTCTGGAAATCAAGGTTAGAAGGTATTGTGTTACTGTTGTCATGAACAAGGTAATATGAAGAGAATGTGTTAGAAGTTGCTAAAAAAAAATCAAAAGGGCTCTAAATCACAGTCAGCTCACATCGTGACTACTAATGAAACCTCTCAGAGTCAGACTCTCTCTATCTCCATAAATGAATATGCTAAGTTCATCAAAATTCAATAAGAATCCAAGAAATCTACCTCTAACACTTCTCTTACTGAGTCATATAACAATGATACTTGTCTTTATTACTCTTCCACACAATGAGTCATTGATTCTGGTGCTACATATCAAATGATAGATAATCCTAAACTATTTTCTGTTTTTCTTAGGCATCTTTCTTCTGTTACTTTAGAATACGAATCCCCTCTAATATTCATGGTTCAAGCACCATCTCACATTTACCTCAATTCATTGTTAATTATGTTTTTGTAAGAAAAATTACATGTGCTCTTAATTATTATATCTTATTCTTTTCCAGCCATTGTATATTTCGGATTTTATGACAAAGAAGATTATTGGTAAATGACGAGAATCAAGTGGGTTATACATTACAGGTAAAGAGCATCTTTCAGCACGTAATTTCCTTTTGAAATCCATTGTCAATTAAGACATCCATCACTATCAGTGCTGAAAAGGTTGTACCCTAAATTTCAACAATTATCATCTTTAGATTGTAAGTCATGTCAATTTGCTAAACAACATTATTTGTATTATGATCCCAAAATTATTAAAAAAGTAATTCATAGCTTTGAGTTGCTTCATTTTGATGTTTGGGGATCTTGTCTTATTTTATGTAATAGATAGCAATATTTGGTCACTTTTTTGGATTTTATTTTTTGTATAACTTGGCTCTATATAAAATCTT